TCCTTTGCAAACAGAGTAAGCACGCTCCACTGCTAAGCCATCTCTGCAGCCCAATGACTACACCGGTAATTGCTCGTGGTTTTGGTTTTGGGAGGGTTTTGAGGATGGAACCAAGTGCCTCACACATGCTAGGCAAGTGCTCCGTTGGGCTACACTTCCAGCTCCTATTTCATTCCTCTAATCCCCCAGGGATGGGCACCTAGGTTGCTTTCAGCCTCCACTTTAAAAAAAAAAAAAGACCCTTAACTGGTACAAAACTTTTAGTGTACATAAACATTTGAGCAGAACCATTTTGCCCTAATTCTTCAGTTAACAGGAAGGAAGTCATTAGAGAACAGGGTGGGGTGCAGCTCAGGGGGAGCCTATGGTGTGCAAGGCTCTGGGTTTCATCCCTAGCATGAACGTCATCCCAGCACTTGTGGGGCTGAGGCAGAAGGATGGAGAGAGTTCAATTTCAGCCTGCCTACAAAACCAAACCGAGGGTTGGGGGAGAGAATGCCTACCTGTGCTGGCAGGCTGGCATGTGCCCTAGAGGTTCTTCCAATCGTTCCATCTGTCTTTAAACACTACGTTTAGATGGGATGCCATCATCTCTGGGGCATTTGGCAAAGACGTGCACAGTCATTGTTGGTTGTCACGGTGGGGTGGGGATGCTACCAGCTAGCAGTGGCGGCTAGGATCCGAGTCAGCCCCACGTGTAAGATACTGCCTGAAACACCACCGGTGCCGCCTGTCTCTGAGGTGTCCTCTTTTCACTGAGTGAAGACTGGGATGATTTTGTTCAGTATATCACCCCGCCTTCTGGATTTATGTGTCACTTCCGTTTCTCCTCTCTTTTTCTGTGCTCCTGTGTGTGGTCATGTGTGTGCAGGTACATGTGGAGGCCAGAGGTCAACCTTAGTTGTCATTCCTCACAAAAGCCTGTCATTTTTTTTTGGTCTTTTTGAGACAGGGTCTCCCTGTAGCCTCAGCTGGCCTGGAATTCACTATGTAGACCAGGCTGACCTTGATCTTGTAGAGATCCATTTGCCTCTGCCTTGGCAACACATTTTTTTTTTTTTTTTTAGTCTTTTTGAGACAGGGTCTCCCTGTAGCCTCAGCTGGCCTGGAATTCACTATGTAGACCAGGCTGACCTTGATCTTGTAGAGATCCATTTGCCTCTGCCTTGGCAACACATTTTTTTTTTTTTTTTTAGTCTTTTTGAGACAGGGTCTCCCTATAGCCCCAGCTGACCTGGAACTTGCTATGTAGACCAGGCTGGCCTCAAACTCACAGAGACCTGCCTGCTTCTGACTCCTGAGTGCTGGGATTAAAGGCATGCGCCACCATGCCCGGCCCCAGCTTTAAAATTTTTTAAAAATTGTTTTATTATATGTGTATGAATGTATTGCCTGCCTGTGTTGTAAGTGCCCCTGTGTCATGCAGTGCCCATGGAGATCAGAAGAGAGCATCAAATCCCCTGGAACTGGAGTTACCAGTGGTTGTTAGCTACCATTTGGATGCCAGGAATTGAACCCAGGTCCCCTGTAAGAGCAGTTAGTGCTCTTAACTGCTGAACCAACTCTCCAGCCCCGAAAATTTATTTTCTGACAGTGTCATATTCTGCAGCCCAGAGTGGCTTGGAATTCCCAATCCTTCTGCTTCAGCCTCCTGAGTGTTGGGATAACAAGGGTGGGTCACTGCACCGACCTGCTTTCTGTCAAATGTGTGCATATACAGATGTGAGGGGAGTGAGTCTCCAGGTGTCCACTGAGGCAGTTAGCAGCCGACAAATGCTCCCTGCTCCTACTGGACACAATGCACTCCCTGCTATGGTGCCTTGCAAGGTATCTTCTGATGCAGGCTTAGTTCTTTGCATCTTGGGGTCCCCTCTAAACAATGGAGACCCCATGTTTGGTCCTAAAACCCGAAAGCTGCTCTGAGGCTTGAGTGAGCCTCCTTTGTTGGCTGGACTTTGCTCCTCCTGTGCCCTCTGGCCTGGGCGGCTTTAGTTCTTGGGAGGTTTGTCAGAGCTGGGCACAGAGTTATGCCAGTTTTCAGATGCTTTCTTCTCCTACTGAGGGTCACACCCAGGACACTGGAAAGCCCCCAAGTAGGGACACAGGCAGTGGGGCACTGCTCCTGTAGCTGTAGAAGAGTGACTTAGTCCTTTGGACCCTCCATGTGTTCATCTGTCCAGTGGGAGAATGGTCCATTCGCCTGGGTTCGAGATTTCCATAGAATTATCTAGTGACTGGATGTGTGTGACTACCTACGCTCGTTTGCCTCTGCCAATTCCCTGTCCAATTTTGTTTTATTTTGTGGTGACTGAGATGGAGATGGAAACCACGACTTCCTTTATGCTTAGCAAGTGTTCCATCACCAAGCCATACCCCAAGTCCTTCAGTGGAAGATTAGGTGCTCTACCTGAGCTAAGCCCCAACCTCTTACTGGTGGATTCCAGGCAGATGATCTACATCTATCCCCAGCCCTTTACTTTTGACAGCTAGTCTCACCAAGTTGCCCAGGCTAGTCACAAACTTGCAACCTCCCCACCTTCAACTCCAAAGTAGTTGTGATAACAGGGCTGGCACCAGGCCTACTGCGTTCTAGGCTCTATGGGGCTTCCTTCTCATCCCTCAGATTCATTTTTAAAGGTACTCTCCTCAGTGAATCCTGGCCACAGAAGTCGCTCTCCCATCCTTCCCCCTTCCTACAACAAACATCTTATTTGTGATGCACTGTTCAAGGCTCTGCTACTACACATAGATGAAGGCAGTGACTTCTCTGTTTCTATACTTACAACTCAGGGCCTTGCACAGGAGAGGTACAATGTTAGCTGAGCCAGGAAACAGAAACTTAGAGAGGTAGGGCCACTTTGTTCATATCACACAGCAGAGCTGGAATGAAACTCCAAGATCTGAGGTCCACTCCATCTCCATGGGGATGAGGTTGCAAAATTTAGAGTGTGCCAAAACTGAGTCATCAATATTTATAAAAATGCAAAACTTGGGGCTGGAGAGATGGCTCAGCAGTTAAGAACACTGGTTGTTCTTGCAGAAGACCCGGGTTTGAATCCCGGCACCCACATGGCAGCTAACAACTGTCCGTAACTCCAGTCCCAGGGGATCTGACAGCCTCTTCTGTCCTCCGCAGTCATTGCACGACACAGGTACACATGCAGGCAATACACACATACACATAAAATAAAAATAAATATTTTTTAAAAAATGCAAAACTGGGATTGATGTGGTGGCACAGACCTTTAATCTTAGCACTCAGGAGGCAGACAGGATCTTTTTGAGTTTATGGCCCTTCCCTGTTCTACATTTTGAGCTCTAACCCAATCAGGTCTGTCTACACAGTAAGACCCTGCCTCAAAAAAAAAAAAAAAAGACAAAATCCACCCCCCCACAACACACACAGCAAAAAAAAAAAACAACAAAAAACCCCAGGGAACTAAAAATAACAAAAAATGTAAAATTAAGCTGAACATGGTGGTACATGCCTTCAATCTCAGCACTGGGAGGCAGAGGCAGGTGGAGCTCTGTGAGTTCAAGGCCAGTCTTATCTACATAGTGAGTTCCAGAACAGCTGGGGCTACAGGGAGACCTTGTCTCAAAAACACCAAAAAAAAAAAAAAAGAAAAACCCAAAAAAACCCCCAACAAATTAAGACACATAATCAAAATATACCAGAAGAAAGATATGATGTGATTCAGTTGGGCAGCTGTGAGCGACTGTATCTCTTCCTGTTTCTCCTCTGCTCCCTTTTTGTCTCTCTCTTTTCCTTTTGAGACAGGGTCTTCCTGTAGCCCCAGCTGGCCTGAAACACTACATAGATCAGGCTGGCCTTGAACTCAAAGATCCACCTGCCTCTGCCTCTGGAATGCTGGGATTAAAGGCATGCAGGGCTATGCCCTGGCCTCTCTTCTCTCTTAATGCCTGTGCTTACAACCTTTTTTAAAAAAGAAACAATCCTAGCTAGGCATGGTGGCGCACACCTTTAGTTCCAGCCTCTTCTCAGGAGACAGAGGCAGGCAGATTTCTGTGGGTTCAAGGCCAGCCTGGTCTAAATAGAGAGTTCCAGGCCAGCTGGGGCTACAGAGAGACCCTGTCTCAAACTAAAAAAAAAAAGAGAAAAACTCCAACTTTGTTTCATAAATATAGAAATATTAAGCTAGACATATGCCTGTACCCCAGCACTCAAGTGTGTGATCCAGGAGAACTGTGAATTTGAGGTCGGCCTGGGCTATATAGCAAGAACCCACTAAAAAAACAGGGGACTGTGGTGGCATATGCCTTTAATCCCAGCACTTGGGAGGCAGTGGCAGGTGGATCTCTGTGAGTTGCAGGCCAGCTAGGGCTACGTGGTGAGACCTGGTCTCAAATTCAGCCTTCCAAAATAATACCAAGTAGTAAGGCTGGCAAGATGGTTCATTGGTAAAGGTGCTTGTTGAGTAGGCCTGCTGGTCTGAATTTAATCCTTGGAGGTCATGGTGGAAGAAGAGAACTGATTCCTGAAAGATGTCCTTGGTCTTCTACATATGTACTGTGGCTGGAGTATCCACACACCCATAGGTGCATAATAAAATTAAAAACAAGCAAACCAAAGCTGGCGTGGCGGTGCATGTCTGTAGTCCCAGCACTTGGGAGGCAGAGGCAGGTGGATCTCTGTGAGTTCAAGGCCAGCCTGGTCTACATAGTGAGTTCCAGGACAGCTGGGGCTACAGGGAAACCTTTTCTCAAAAAGACAAAAAACAACAACAACAAAACAAGCAAACTACTACAAAAAACAAGTAACAGAGTTGGGGACTTGACTCGTGGTAGAGTGCTTGTCTAGCATACAGGAGGCCCCGTGGCTCACACATGTAATCCTAGTACTCAGAATTTGAGTGCTAGGGTGATGGAGGCAGATCTGTTCAAGGTCATCCTCAGCTCCAGAGGAAGTTTGCAGTCCATCTGGGCTAGATATTATCTCAAAAAAATATTAAAGATATCATGTGTATTTATAAAAATATTGTTTTATTATTTTTTGAAACTGGGCTTGCTATATATAGTCCAGGCTGGCATCAAACTCTTAGGTTCAAGTGAGCACCCTGCCTCAGGCCGTCGGGTAGCTGCCGGTTTTTGTACCTTTTTGAGGTTAGGAGACATATATGGTTTAGTAAAATGGTTACTACAGAGGAACAAATTAGCATATTCATCGTCTCCCATAGTTACTCATGTTCCCCTGTGGAAAGAGCAGCTAGAATTTCATTTAGAGAGAGAAAAAAAAAAAAATCCTGAATCCACAAACAAAAAATTTGAAGATCCGACCCTCAGCTGTCGGAACTCAGTCACCATAATCTCAGTGCAGACGGACTGTCCACTGTGGATCTATTCTTCCCATTCATTGGTATTTTAAAATACTGCATTAGAATATTATCTTGATGACTAACTTTCTGCGCTCGAGGCGCTCAGTCCAGTCCCGGCTCTTCTGTTTCACCTTTTCCGGCTGCAGCTGGCTTGCCCCTGGGGAAACTGAGGCCCGGGGTGGCGGGGAGCTCCCGGCACAGACTGGCTGCCGACCTTTGCTTATCGGCCACAGTCGAGGCCGCTCTTTAAGTCGCCCGCCTGCCGGAGACCTTTCCCGGGTGGACGCCCCGTCTGCACTGCGGAGATAGCCTCGCCGCTGGCCGCAGTGACCTTTCGTGGCCGGCGGAGCGGCGCGGCGCGGGGACCAGAATCGAACCCGCTCCGGCACCCGGGGCCGCTCCACCCACCAGGACTGACGTAATCGAACTCCGAGTCTGGCCTCCGGCGCGGCCGATGTCACAAAAGGGCAGCGCCACGTCACTGCATTCCTTGGGAGGCGAAGGAGCGAGAAGTTTGTGTCCCACCCAAGGCGAAAGAAGCCTCCCCGGTCTCCTTTCTCATTAGGGAAGTTCCTCTAGGTAGGAACGCCTAAGACGCCAGGCGTCCAGCGCATGCGTCCAGCGACCGGCCAGAGAGCGCGGTAAACCGTAGGGACAGACTGAGATTTTGTTAGTCCAACCAGAAAGCCGGCTTTAGAGCGGCAACCCAATGCGGCCTCACAGGTCCCACCCCTTTATTCCTAGTTCGCTGCTCGCTGCTCGCTAGCGGGAGTGACTGCTCCGCGGCCTTCGAAGGCTCAGCTTCCTTGACGGACATCCACGCCAACGAACTGCAGCGCGGAGAAGTCGAGCGAGTGTTGAAAAGCATGGACCGGAGCCAATAGCTTACGGTCAGGATCGGCACCGTCCAATCGCTATTCCTGGCACCGCCAATCACCCTGGGCCCCGCCCCTGCCCGTGACGTAGGTAGGGTGGGTAGCAACAGTTGCCCCGGTGAGGGAAACGGAGGCGCCATAGCCACGGTAGTCGTGGCGACCAAGCAACCCGGCAACGCGAGTCAACAACAACAAGCGCCCGGCCGACCCCCGCCCCCAGGCCCCCGCCTGGCCCGGGGTACCCGGGCCGCTCCGTTCCCCGCTGCACATCGCCCCCGTGACCTCCGCAAAGCCCTTCCGCGGACACAAGTGGGGAGAAGCCTAGGTAACCGGGGCAGCCGGGGTGGCTGGGCGCGCCGGGGCCGGTGGCGGGTGTCGCGGTGATCACAGTCCACGGGGAAGGGGCGGGCGGTCAAAATGGCGGCGCCGACTGTCGGGACCGTGGGGGAGGGGTCCGGGGCCCGGCCGGGGCGACACCACCCGCCCCCCGGCCCCGCGGCCCGGCCCCCGAGAGGGGCGGGCGCTCGCAGGCCGCCGAAGAGTGGAGGTCCGCCAGCCCTGGCTGGGGGCTTTTATATGTCGGGAGGTGCGGCGAGGCGGACTTACGGAAGCTGGGCCAATGGGAGCGCGTGGGGTGGGGCGGGGCTCAGGTGCTGGGCGGGGCCAGGCCCTCCGCCCTTCGGAGCGGGGTGCGGCAGCGGGCGCCGTTCGCTGAGTGTCCCCGGAGACGTGAGGCCATCCGGGATTCAGAGTTTGGGCGGTGACTGTCCCATTTGAGGCCTCAGTCTTCAGTTCTATAAAATGGGGAGAATCTTCGCCATCTCTTCTTTTCTTCACTACAAGGACTCCTAATTCCTTCCAGGAATTTCCCTAAGGCTCATCCTTGAATGTACCCCTATAAATATACTGTTTCTCAAAGAGGTTTAGCAAGTATTTGCAAACTGACCTCTGCTCCGGAACCTGAAACGGGAAGGAGGCGGGGGAAAGGGATGACCAAGTTTTTGACTCAGACCCGGTTTTCGGCCTGGCGGATTTAGTTGTTAGAAGTCAAAGTCTCTGGAGAGAAGTGATCATAGACCCCAGATTTAGAGGAACCGAAACCCGTTCTCTAGGGTGCTCTCTTAGACCTGGAGCAATACTTATTCTTGGAGATTGGACTTTTTATTATTAGTAGTATTTTGGCCTATCCATTAAGGTCTCCCGTTGTGGAAACGGCTAGCCATTGGAACTGGGGTCTTAGCTTAGTTAGTATCAACAGGGTCACATGTCATGAGGTGGTAACAGTCTGATGGCCTTGTGGGCAGGAGCTGGTGCAGGTCAGAGAGGAGAGACACATCCCCAGCTGGCCTGGAACTCACTATGTAGACCAGACTGGCCTTGAACTCACAGAGATCTGCCTGCCTCTGCCTCCCAAGACTAAAAGTGTGGCCATTAGTGAAAAAGTTTTACAAATGCCTTTGGGGCTGATAAAAATCTGTCAGCTTTGGGGAAGAAAAAGAAATTAACATGGATAGGCAGGCCAGCTTGGCTTGGCTTCTTTTCACTCTTGCACTGAACTTCCTGTTGGTGTACAAACTACAGTAAACGGTACTCAGAGGAAAAGAAGGGTCAGACTTCCACTGACAATTCAGCAGGGAGGCAGATTGGCCCCAGATTCTTCAGGGACTTTCTCCATCTCTTAGAGGGTTGCAGCACTCCTTCGAAGTTAGATTAACTCAGGAAGAAGCTGGAATTAGCCAGGTTGCTAAAAAAGGTTCTCAGCACCTCCCATGAAGTTTGACTTTGAAAAGGTTGTCTGTTCAGAGTCTGGAGTTGATTGTTCTTTCTCATTGACTGCTTAAGCCTCCACCTCTCCACCAGTAATTTTTACAGTTGAAGGACCCAGGAGGGTCATTTGTCTAGAGAAGGTTGATACTGGCTTGCTTTCCTTCTCCCTGAAACAGTTGCTATCCACCTGTGTGTTCATAGGTGAATAACTTAACTTCTCTGGGCCATCATGTGCTCTCATCTAGGGCAGAAATCATTTTTACCTCAAATTACTGCTCTGTGGATCTCATAAAATTCATTTCAGATATTAGATACATCTTATAAAATTCAAGTGTTAGATTCATAGTAATCGCCCAAATGATGTCAGCCTCTGCTGTTACTAAGATGACTCTCACTTCCTGTCCAGCCCTCGGAATTAACCGTTGGTGTTTATTTTTATCATTTTGGATACAAGAGAAAGCCTAGTGGTGCGAACTGACAGGAAGCTGAATTCTGGGACTTCAGTTTGTTTTCTGTACTGGGATTGAACCTAATGAATTCTCTAAACTAGGCATGTCCTCTGCACTGAGGTATACCCAGCCCTCTTTTTGACTTTATTTTTTACATTTTATTTAGTGTGTGTGCTCACAAGCACCCATGCATGTGGAGGTCACAGGACAAGTAGTAGGTCTCAGTTCTTTCTTTCCACCATGTGGGTTTCAGGAATCGAACTCAGGTCATCAAGCTTGGCAGTCTTTGACATGGTACTGCTGTGCCATCTTGCTGGCCCACTTTTTACTTTTTGTTTTGAGATATGGCCTTTTGAAGCTGTCTAGATAGACTTTGAACTTGTGATCTTCTGTGCTCAGCTTCCCAAGTAGCTGAGATGACAGGCCTGTGTCACTAGGCTGAACTGAGGGCTCCAGTTGCTATAGGGAATGGTTGCTCGCTCTGCTACTGCCTTTGTCCCTGAGAGCAGCCAGAAAGAGTTCTATCTGGGTAGAGACCTGGGCTCTGCATCTAGCTCTCTAGGAGAGATGAGAAGGGTATCAATAACGAGGGACACACCCTCTTCTTTCACAGTCCTGGACTAGAGAGGGTCTCTCATGTATAGGCCCCATAGTGCACCAGGGGCAGGCCCCAAGTGTAAGCTTGCTGCTGGCAGAGGCTGTAATGTCCCAGTCTTCCCATTTAATGGAGTCAGACCAGACGTCCTCTGCGCTCACTAACATGGTCTTGGGCTCACCATACTGTGATAGCTGAGTCCTCTTGCAGCCTGGGGACTAGGTCAGTATACAAGTTTGCCTAGGGAGTGCAAGAACCTGGGTTCCATCCCCAGAACTGCAAAAAAGAAAGGGTTGTCTACCCCACCCCCCATCCTCCCATTTGTGCTCTAAGAGCTAAGGACAGAGGCACACCACCCTTGGGGGAGGGGCAATGGTGCCCAGAGGAAGTGACCTGAATGGTAAATAGCTAGGATGTGATCCAGGGCAGGAGCAAATGCCAGCCAGGTGAAAACAAGTGATGCAAAGGCCCTGAGACCTGAGGGAATGGAAGCATTATTAAACTTGGAGTCAGTGCCACTGAACATCCAGAGCAGGAAACACAGGGTCAGGAAGGACAGATGGTACAGGTTCCTTAGGTCATAAGAAGGGCTCATCTGCTCTCTGCCGTGAGAGGTGCAACATGAGAGAGTCTAGCTTTTTTTTAAATTTAATTTATTTAATTTTTTTAATTTTTATTTTTTGTCTTTTTGAAGCAGGGTCTCCCTGTAGTCCCAGCTGTCCTGGAACTCACTATGTAGACCAGGCTGGCCTTGAACTCAGAGATCCGCCTGCCTCTGCCTCCCAAGTGCTGGGAGGCCTTTAGTGCCAGCACTCGGGAGGCAGAGGCAGATGGATCTCTGTGAGATTGAGGCCAGCCTGGTCTACATAGCGAGTTCTAGGCCAGCTGGAGCTACAGGGAAACCATGTCTCAAAAAGACCAAAAAATAAATAAATAAAAAGGGCACAGCAAAAGATGCCTAGGGAGGAGGAGGAGCTAGCTAGCCTAGAGTGATGCTGGAGTAACCAACAAATAAATTAGACTAGGAGGGCAGGGAAGCATGCTTTGTTACATTAAACTTTCCCACTTCCCTCCAGGTATGTTACCAAAGCAAGTCTGCAGGTAAGCAGCATGGATTCTCTCTTTCTCACAAACCAATTGGTTCTAGAATCTGGTCTCTGACGTGGCTCTGCCAGCTGCAGCCTATGTTTGGTACTGGAATGGAACCCACCCCACACACTGGGCGGATCTCTGCTGCTGGGTCCCTCCAGCCTTATTGCCTGTATTTGTAAGGATGGCAAGAATGATTTTTGCAGTTTGAAATGATTGCAAAAGATCAAAAGAATATTTTATGATATAAATAACATTTTATGCCATGTGAAAAATCTTATGTCTGCCTGCTCACTGCTCACCTATTTTTTTGTGAGTTCTTTCATACAGAGTTGAGTGGATACTATCTGCCCACAAATCAGACATAGTTACTGTCTGGCCCTTTCTAGAAGTCCACCAATCTCTCAATCCAAGGAGTGGGTTCAGATATTCTCTAGAAGCTGGCTGTGGCAGGTGCAGGGTGACTGGCAGGTTGGTGGCTGAAGACCACATGGACCCATCAGGCTCTTTTTTCTGTGTGCCACCTTCCATAAAACAAGGGTCTTAAGCTCAGATACATGGGGAGTACGTGGGCCACCCACTTGTGTGTACCTCATGCCTGTGCAGGAAGCCCTCCCAGACCCAGCAGGAGGGATGAGGCCTCTGGTTGGAGATCCTGTGAGTGTGGGCCTTTCAGAGCCTCTCCTGTGGGGCAGCAACTGGCCTAGGCTGGAGACAGCCTGGGCCAGGGTAGATGGGCCTGGGCTGTTTGGGGTGTTTGGAGAAGTAGCTAAAATGAATTTGAGGCCATCTCAGACTCTTGGCAGCTGAGCCCAGGGACCTGCCTGTTCACCAGGTCCCCAGGGGCTGCTGATGACAACGTTCCAGTCAGATTCCCCCTTGTGCCACCCTCTGAAACAAGTGGATGGCACCCCCTCCTTCCACCTCATCCCCAGCTTGCAAGTGTAGCTGTGGAATATATAGTAATAATAATAATAATAATAATAATAATAATAGTTGAACAGATCTTGCCAGATATGTCATGTGCTGGCTACTGAGTGATCACATAGGATCTTTATTTTGTTTTGTTGTTGCTTGAGAGAGTCTCCCTGTAGTTCCCCACCCCCATCCCCCAGTGCTGGGACTGAAGGCATGTGCCACCAAGCCAGCTTCATATAGGATCTTTACAGTGACCCTGTGAACCCAGGTGGCAGATGGGGTAAACTGAGGTACAGAAGACTGTCAGTAATGTATGTTTATGAAGAGATTCACATGGGATGGGTGCTGATGGCTATGAGAAACCTTGAACCAGGTCTACTTGGTTGTAGCAGCTTAGCACTGGCAAGGAGTTGGGGCCAAGAAATGTCTTGCCTTGTGTTCAGTGGACTGTGGCCTCTTCCTTCATTGACTGGCAAGCTTCCCTGCTGTCCACCTCTCTGGTGGGGGTTGGGAGAGCATAGAGGCCAGCTGCTGCTCTGTGTGCTGCTGACCCCAGAGGTCTGAATTAGGCTCACCCCAGGACTGCTTCTGCCGTCTTATGAGTGGCCCAGCACAGCCTGGCCAGGGAGGAGAGGTGACCCCAGGGTTTCACTGGCTCTGCCTGTGCCAGCCAGGGGTCCTGTTGACTCACCCTGTGGCTCTCTGGTCCTTGGAAGGGAAGGGGGCAGGAAGCACTTTTGTCTTTATTTCCTGCTGGGCATGGTGGAGCATGCCTTTAATCCCAGCACTCAGGAGGCAGAGGCAGGCGGATCTCTGTGAGTTTGAGTCCAGCCTGGTCTATGTAGTGAGTTCCAGGCCAGCTGGGGCTACAGGGAGACCCTGTCTCAAAAAGACCAAAAGGAAAATAAAGCATTTCCTAAGTACTCTGCCCTACCCTCTGTCCTTTCCTCCCTCCCTTTTTTGGGGGTGTAGGAGATGGAACCCAGGGCCTTGGACAGGCTAGATAAATGGCCCTACCACTGAGCTGCACCTAGCCCCTCCTCTTAAGTACTTCTAAGTAGCAGACACTTGGTTGAGTGTTACACCATGCTCAAACTGTGCTTGTAAGCAGCCCCACATCCTAGCAAGAGGCCTGCGTTCCACAGAGGGGGCTGTGAAGGTACTCAAATTCCAGCTGTGCTTGTGCTCTGTGCAGGGTTTTGTTCACCTGTCTTGTGGGACACTTCCCGAGTTTACAATCAAAGGTTAAAGCCTAGATACCTGGATAGTCATGTGTAGGGAGGCAGGAAGCATGAGGCCACATTGTTGGTGGGTCTCCCTTGGGTGCTCAGGCTACCCCTGCCCTGGTTCTGCTGCTCTAAGTGAGATGAGGCAGGTACCTCTGGTGGGTGCTGCCCCGAGTGAGGGAAGGACAGAAGCCTGGGCTGGCATCCTGGGCCTGCCTGGGGCTGAGAGCACCCAGGGCTGGCTGCCAGCCTTGGGACTGAGTCAAGTTAGTGATCTTCCCTCACTGGTCTGTGAGACTGGGGCAGCACAGCTCTGGTGCCTACTGAACAGTAGTTGTTGTTTCCTACGTTTCCCTTGGAGGTCCCACTCTGGGTTACCCTGTGTGGCAGGAGAGCAGCCTGCAGGCCTGATGTGGCGCACAGGTGCCAGAGAGTTACTGCCAAAAAGCCTCTGAGTTGGCAGGTACTAGCCCAGGCACTGTGCAGCCCAGGGTCACAGCCTCCAGGAGACAGGATAGGCCACAAAGGTGAGGGCTTCAGCTTCTCCTTTAGGTTGGGAACCACACTTGTTCCATCGGACACTTGTTCCATCGGGAGCTGAGGGTAGGGATGCTTTAAAGCGTGGCCTGAGCCCTGCTGAGACAAGCTGAGTACCAACCAGAAAAGTTGCAAGCCACCAGCCAGGCCAGCCATACTCTAAGGCCAGCTATCCCCAGCCTCAGAAGCACACTATCCCACACCCTGAGCTAGAGACCCATGCTGCCTCAGGACAGGCTGACTAAAGACCTTCCTATGAATGGTACCCTGCTGTGATGACACCTGGCAGGATGCTCTGAGAGCTTTCTCTGTGACTTGCCTTTCTAGCCATAAGCTGACTTGGCAAAGGCTCAGGACGCCCAGGTCAGATAGCCCTGCCATTTCCTTGCTATGTGGCCCAGGGCCATCACTTTACCCTCTCTGAGCCTCAGTTCCTCAACTGGTTAACTCAACTCAGATCCACTGTGGTTGTTGCAGTTTAAAATGAAATTGTGATGGTTAATCTTGGCTGACAACCTGACAGGATCTGGAATTTGTCCAGCAGCAGGAGCCCTTAGAAGATATCCATTTGGAGGACCAAATGGCACAAACCTGTCACCCCAGCCCTCCAAAGCCTGAGGCAGGAGGATCACAGTTCAGGGCTAGCTTGAGCTATATAGGGAGGCCCTGTCTCAAAAGACCAAAGAGGATGTGGCTCAGTGGTGTGCTTGCTTGGCATGTGCAATGTCCTGGGTTCTATCCCCAGAATGCCAGAAAAGTTGTGGGGGTGGAGATCGATCTCTGGGCTCCTTGGTGATGAACAGCACAGGCCCTCTGGCAGTCACTGGTATTCACAAACCAGACCCATTTGTAGTGGACAGAGTCGTAGAGCCATTGGCAGTGCTGAGATCCTCTGGCGTGACCTAAGGTGATGTGGTGCTTAAGTGCCAGGGGCTGGAGGGCAGGAGTCCCAGCTCAGGGTATGGGTAGGGATCTAGTCGGTGTTTACACCCAGATCCCCTTCAGTGATGGGTCTATTGTATCCAGCCAACAGCCTTGCGATTTAATCAAGTTAGTGATGAGCCCAACTGTATCTCCAGGGAACTGGGAGCTGGCCCTGCTTTCCTCTGCCTGTAGATTAATTCATGTTTTTCCTTCTTTTGTTTTTGTCTCCCCCCCTTTCTTCTCAAGGAAAAGGAAAAAAAAAAAAAAAACGCCTTATTTATTATCATTTCACTGTTGGCATGGCAACACAGGCCTATGTTACTGAGCTGCAGGCAGCCCCACAAGCATCCCAGCCACCACAGGCCCCTCCCCAGGCCCCGCCCCAGCCACCACCCCCAGCAGCATCCCAACCTCCCACTGCAGCTACCCCCCAGTCCCAGTATGTCACTGAGCTGCAGAGCCCCCAGCCCCAGGCACAGCCTCCTGGCAGCCAGAAGCAGTACGTGGCAGAGCTCCCAGCTGCCCCAACGCCTGCGCAGCCTGCTGCACCTGCTCCTTCCCCTGCACCTCAGCAGTACATCGTGGTCACCGTCTCAGGTGAGTTCACCTGTGCACTGTAGCCAAGGTTATTGGAATGGCTCTGGAGGGAGTTTTGGGGAGCTCAGCATCTAGGGTGTTGGGGCAGGGGATGGTGGGATTTGGAGATATCTTTGGGGAAAGGGAATCAGGCCAAGCAGGGAGGACTCAGTAACCTGAAACTACCTCTCACAGGGTGCTCAGACCTATTTGTATCTGTCCCCACGTAAGATGTCACCAGAAAAGAGGATGGGAGGGTGAAATTCAGTTTGCACACACCTGCAAGAGTCAGGCTACCCAGCAGCCCTCAGCCTCTGCCTAGGTTTCACCCTGGATAAAGAGACCATTGTGGCTTCTCTGGGGATATGTGAGAAGTGTTCAGAGCAGGCTGGTCCAGAGGGTTCCTTGTAGGAGACTGACTGACTGGGCAGCCTGGGTGTGTCCCCTCTCCTCCCTAGAGGAGCAGGTCCTGGCAGCTGAGCAAGCCAGCTCCTGAGTGTCTGACTACCCTCATGCCATGGAAGTGGGGCATGGTGAGCCCACTGTCTGCCTTCTTCCCCCTGCTTCCCAAAATGGACCTGAATGGGCTGAGGCGAGCAGGGATAGAGGATGGTGGCTGACAGTGACTCCTCAGAGGGATGAAACAGAGCTGGGGTTCCCAGCCAGGACTGGGCATTTTCTTATTCTCAGGCTGTGACAAGAGACTCAGCTCAGAGTTGATCATTGGGCATCACCCTGTTGCCCTGAGTTTTCTCACCAACTACCTTCCAGCTTCTTAGGGGGCTGCTAGGGACCCATCTCCATCTTGCCTACCTCAGGGTACTGGTGGGAACCTGGTACAGTGGTGCCTCAGGATGGCATAATTGTGTTACTGCACTGACTCTACTTCCCTGGAGTAGAGGTGTCTTCATGCCTTCATGACATCCAGGAAACTGTGGAAGGGCCATATGTGGTGGTGCACACTTGTCTTCCCAGCACACAGGAGGCTGAGACAGGACTATCTGGAGTTCCAGGCCAGGCTGGGCTCTACCTTAGATCAATGGACCTCTGACGATGGATGTGGTCCTAAGAAACCAGGACAACCTGGCAAGGGCACTGTTTATGGAGTCCCAAAGAAGGCTAGGGACAGGGCATGTAGGTGCTCAGGGTGGTAGGTAGGAGGACCACACACTCCCCACCTGTGTACACCCAGAGTCCAGGGTCTTGGGGCTGCAGGTCCAAGGGTTCTCAGCCCTACCCAGTGATCCTGTGCTATTACTTCCTTGCCAGCACACCCCACACCGTCCTTTGGCCCAACCTGAGCCTGCAACTTAGCAGCATCAGGTACTGGCCTGGCTGCACCTGCCAGCTCTTCAGGGATGGAGTGGGCCCACCTTTACTCCAGGCCTCTGCAGCCTCTCCTGAAAAATCTCTCCCTCTAGCCAGGACAGATGAGCAGCCCACATTAACTGAGACTCTCTGACCTGGCCCTCCCCCTGCAGCTGCCACCCCCATTCTTGAATCAGATGTCCTCAGAACATCTAGCTCCTCCGTCCTTGCTTCCTCATCCACACCATGTCCTCACCCACTTGTTTCCTGGCTCCTGACAGCTTTTCACCTAATTGTGTCTGACACGTTGGTCCTCTCCCAACTGCAAACCAGTCCTGCACAACTGCCCAGGTCTTTCCCTTTTCTCTGCTGGCCTTTCTGATCCCTCACTTCTGCCTCACCTCCTGATCCATAGTAGCAGGGGACAAGTCTCTGGCTCAGGCTGGGCCCCTCTCCTCCAAAAATTTTCCCTGCATTGAGGCTTTCAGAAGTGTCATGGCTCACCATCTCCCCACCACCACCCCCGCACCCCAGTTCTGCAGGTTTGAACCCAGGGCCTCACAAACCTTAGGCCAATGCTTTTACAAATGGACTACATCTCCAACATTCTTCCCACTTTTTATTTTGAAACAGGTTCTCACTAAGTTGCCCAAGCTGGCTCTGAATTCACCCTGTAGCCCAGGCTGGCCTTCACATTGCTGTCATCCTGTCTCAGCCTCCTGAGCAGCTGGGATGACAGGTGTGTGCCACCAGACCCAATCATGGTACGGCTTTCCATCCCCTGCTGAGGTCTCCAGCCAGGGTCTCAGCCCTGAGCTCCAGAATCTCATGGCCAGTCCTTCTAGGTCTGTCTGCCAAAGGTCAGCTTGGCAGATGGTGATCAGCCCTCCTCTGAGATGTCTTCCCTCCACCCAGGCCTGACTCAGCCTCTGCTCCTATCCTGCTTACCCTAGAGCCTTGCTGCTCTACCCCACCCCTCCACCTCCTAAGCCCACCCAGACTCTGACCTCTGCCACCTCTAAGTCCACCCAGACTCTGACCTCTGCCACATCCATGGCCCCCTAACCAGCTTCTCTGCTGCCTTGTCCTCACAGCTACTACAGGGAGCCTGTCCCCAGCTATCATGTAGGTCCCTGCACATCAGATCTCAAACCAGATTGTTCCAAGGAGGGGCCCCAGGACCATGTGGTTTCAAAGCATTAGAAGATAGGCCCTACTTCCTCCGGAAAGGGCTTTAAAAGTATCCTATAAGCCAGGAATAATGGTGCATACCTGTAACAGCACGGGGGTGGGGATGGGGGTGCTGAGCCAAGAGCATTGAGCGTTCCAGGCTAATCTCAGGCTGAAGAGATGGCTCAGTGGTTAAGAGCGCTGGTATCTCTTGCAGAGGACCTAGGTTCAGTTCCCAGCATCCACATGGGTGTATGAGGGAGTCTGACACCCTCTTCTGGCCTCCACAGTCATGGCACGCACATAATGCACTTACAAACATGCAGACAAAACACTCATAAAATAATTTTTTTAAAAGATCTTACAGTTTTTTTTAACTTTTATTATTTTTATTTTATGTGTATGAGTGTATTGCCTGCATGTATGTGAGTGCACCTGTGTTGTGCAATGCTGCGGAGGTCAGAAGAGGGCTTCAGATTCCTCTGGAACTGGAGTTAAGGATGGTTCGTAGCCGCCATGTGGGTGCTGGGAATTGAACCTGGGTCCTCTGCAAGAGCAGTCAGTGCTCTTAACTGCTTAACTCTCCAGCCCCAAGATCTTATAGCTTTTATAAAAGCTGTGCCCTAGGCTGGAGAGATGGCTCAGTGGTTAAGAGCACTGGTTGCTCTTGCAGAAGACCCGGGTTCGAATCCCAGCACCCACATGGCAGCTAACAACTGTCTGTAACTCCAGTTCCAGGGGATCCGACAGCCTCTTCTGTTCTCTGTAGGCATTGCACGACATGGGTGCACTTACCTACACGCAGGCAATACACTCATACACATAAAATAAATAAAATATTAAAAAAAAAAAAAAGCTGTGCCCTGACATACCTGCTCCAGACACCAGCCTTTCTAACCTGTACCAGCTTGGCAGCTCAGCCTGCCTCCTCCCTCCCTCGGGCAAGCACGTTCAGTCCAACCCTTCTGCCACCTGTCATTTCTGGGCCTCCTGGACCTCCCTTCTTTACTTTGCTCTTCTTGAATTATCATCATGTGGTGACACCTGCAAAGACAGGGCTTTGTCCCCTAGGTTTTTGTGCAATGAGTGGTGAATGGGGGTCTAGCTCAACACAGCAAGTGGAGGCATCTAGCCTAACGTCCCATCTCATTACCCCTGGACTGGGCTCTGTGCAGCAATCCCCACCCCCAGATGTCTGATTGGCACTGGTCTCTTCATATAGGTCTCTCATGACTTTGGTGTTCCCAGAGCAAGGCTTTTGAGTAGACACACTGCTTTAGTCCCCAAAACACCTGAGTAGTTCTTTCTGCCTCTGGTTCTCCTAGTTCTTTGAGGCATATCCAGCGAGGTCTTGGTGTTTAAAGACCTAGGTACCTTTTAGGTCAGACAGGTGGAGGTCAGTCTCACTAGCTGTGGGGTGGGGAAGTGGCATGCCACATGGGACAGCATATTAGTGAGGGCAGGCAGGCTCATGCCTCTGGCCAGGCAGTGGCTTGCTGCCTGTTTTTCACAGCAGCCCTGGGGAATGCATCTGTCCACTGCTCTAGTTATGACAGGAATGAGCCTGCCCTACAAGGGTTACTGCCCCAATGAGCTCTGAGGAAGAAGAGAGAGGCTGTTGCCCTCCCTGCCCCTATGGTGGTTTTTTCTTGATCCCTCTCCCAGATTGCCCATGTGAGCCAGTCCTTGGGGGAGGGAGGGAGGGAGGGCTGACACCAGAGAAGGTGGCAGGGAGGTGCCTATGCCAGCTCCTGAGCCAGGATCTATCTAAATTGACCAGAAACTCTGGGAGCCTAGTACAGAGGGAAGAGCTGCCCTTAGCCCTTGAAGCCCAGAGAATGGGAAGTAAGCTGAGACCAGAGGTAGAGTACCTAGTCTAGGCCTGCCATGCTCTGTCCTAAAGTGACTTTGGTTTTTGGGTTTTTTTGTTTTTTTGTTTGTTTTTGGGGGGTGATATGGTCTTATTATGTAGACTGCTGGCTTGGAACTAACTATGTAGACCAGGCTGGCCTCAAACTCACAGAGGTCCCCCACCTCTCCCTTCCTAGTGCTTAGATTAAAGGTGTGCATCACCACGCCCATCCCTAGGGTGATTTTGGAGGTGATAAGGGTGCTTGAGTTTCCATGGTCAGACTACACTGATCCTTGTCCTCTGCTGGGGCCACTAGTCTAGTTCTTTAGCCCAGAACTTGATGTGAATGGAGGGAGCTGCCAGCTGGGAAGATGAAGCCAGGCCCACCTGGAGGGGACTTAGAAGCCGAGAGGAGCCACCACAGCCAGCCAGGCCTCCCTGCAGCTTGCAGTCCTCCAGTGGCCGAGAGGAAAATGGAGGCTGCTTCTCAGCATCCCTGGTACAGATGGGAAAAGAGAGATCAAAGCAGACATGGGTCTCCAAGATAGTTGGAGTACAGAACTACCCTATAAACCCCTGCCTGCCTCACATCATCACCCCTAGGAGCCAGCAGGCAGGAGGGGCAGACAGTTGTTTTTTTACCTGTGGGGAAGAAGGGCCTGGCTGGTAGTGATATCCCGGCCCAGCTTCCTGAGGCCTGCCTTCCTGAAGAGCTGGCTGTAAACTGAGGGGCGCTCAGGCAGGTGTAGGTGGAGAAAGCCTGGCCCAGGAGGAAGTGGCGACCAATGGAGAGACACTGTTAGATTCACAAACAGGAAATGAGCAGCTGCTTCCAAACTCCAGTCTTCAGGGGCCTCCCTGATTATGTATAGGCTCAGAAGAGAACCAACCTACAGACAGAGCTGCCCCCAGACTCCCCACTTCCTTCCCAGTGCCCTTCTCAAACACAGTATGGAAGCATGGGCCTACTCTTGACCTCACAGCAAATCCTGTTCTGGCCTGGCCTGGTATAGATGGGGAGGGGAGAGCTCAACCTTGAGGGCCACCCTAAGGCAGGAGATGGAAGGACATCTGGGACAGGTACTTGACTGGAGCAGGTCCCCAGGCCTCTAGCTGTAGAGGGTCTGGCTCAAGGACCTGGGCCTTGCAGGCGGCAGGGGCCAGTGCCTGGTGTGGCTCTTTACCCTGAGCTAGGACAAGTTTTCCATGGGCCTCTTCAGTCTAGCATCATCCCTTGGGGTATACCTGGTTCCCCGTGTCCCAGACAGCCCAAGTGTGGAGGGCACGTGACTCAAGGCCAGCTCAGGTTTCCCTGAGAGGGGCCAAAGGAAAATGGGCCTCCTCCTCAGGGGCTTAGAAACCTAAAGCAGATTCAAGGGAAGATCCCAGCAAACCTGACCATCAGTGCTGTTTGGAATTGGTGCAGCTACCCAAGCAGGCCTAGGAGGGGCCACAGGGAGTCTCTGACACTTATTCCTACATCTGGCCACCCCTAGCATATACTCAGTTGCTCCTCTGGGGACTGGGCCAGTCTCCTGCCCTGGCCAGGCACCTTTCCTGGGTCCTCTTTGGAGGGTGAACCCTACTATGGAAACCTCAACCTTGAAGTGTCCTTAAGGGCCCCAGCTTCCTGAACCTGAGTTTGAGAGCATGTCCAGTGACTCAGGATTCTGGGGGCAGGGACGGAGGTCGTGTTGGCTCAAAGGGAGACCTGGGACCCAGGCTAGGACCCAGATGGGTGATAAAAGGAAGTTACTTCCTCTCTCAGTCTCTATTACCTGAAAATGAGTAAAAGCAAATACTGGCTCCAGGGGCCCGAATGCCCGGCACACCAGAAACAAATCAGTGTCCGAAGCCAGCCCCTTGATAGGCCCTGTTCACAGATGGTCCTTCAGCCCTATCAGAAATTGGATAAGCTCTCTGGAGTACCCCCCCCTCCCAGCCTCCAAGCCAGATCCCAGGAGAGTGCGCTTGTAGACAGCACCTGGAACAAGACAAGCACATGTCCACCCCACCCAACCTTGTCCTCTAAGCTGCTGGGGGACAAGCCAGGCCACATGTAGGGGATGAGATAGATGACATTCCTGCTTGGGCAAAGGTCTCCTGGCCAGTGTGTCTTGTGGACATGTTCCCTCCCCCACCCTCCTGCCAGCCCATGAATCACTTAGCAAGATGTGTATGAAATGTGACCTGCCTCTGCCTGATAGCATCTCTGGTACTCAACCTCCATCCTACCTGGCCCCAGCCCCCTCAGGCAGCCCGTGCAGAGCATATTGTTTATCCGAGAGAGCACGAAAGAGTTCTGAGCCCATGTGGGGATTAGCTTCCCAAGGTTGCAGGTATAAAGCCACCAGTGCACTGTGCTGTTCCCATAGTGCCAGGCACCCTGGGACTGCTGGACACTGGGGTGGGGGAGGGTAGGGGCACCATGTTCTATGATTGCCTCTTCTTGGCTGCCTGCCAGCGTGAGTACTTACCCTTTTGGTTCCAAGCCCTTTGTTGCCCCCACCCCACTCAGCTAGGGGAAGAAGGCTGAGGGGGGCATTCCTGACTACCTGTGTTTCCTGGGAAGCCAGAGGTGCTGGCCTACCACCTTGGTCCTTCCTGAGGTGCCAGGACTTGGAAGGATGGTCCAGCCCTGGACTTGTGGGCATCATAGCTCCTCAGATACCCTATCCAGTCAGCTTCAGAACAGAGAGGACCAGGGAGCTATTTCCAGATGTCAGGGATCCTGGGTTCCCTGGGCTCCCATCTCTCCCTGCCATTTACCCCTGAAAACTGTAGGGAGGGGTTAGGCAGGACTTGGAGAGACCAGGCCTCATTAAGGGTCAGCTGTGGACTATGGGCTGCACTGTCCTCTGAAGATGGGCTTATGCTCAGGTTGGGGGCAGAAGCCTCTTGACAGAGCTGACCTGCTGACCTCTTCTCACAGAAGGTGCCATGAGGGCCAATGAGACTGTATCGGAGGCCAGCCCAGGTTCCACGGCCAGCCAGACCGGTGTCCCCACCCAAGTGGTGCAGCAGGTGCAGGGCACCCAGCAGGTAGGACATGCCCCCCTGGGGGGGTTGGGGCTCCTTGCCCCACCTTCCTGCCAAGAACATCTGCTCACCTGCTTTATCAAGATGTGGTGATCGCTGCCCTCCACTTGCCCAAGGCTGCCATTCTGAGAAGCAGGCCTGGCACAGCTTCTTTCTTGCCCCTGCAGCGGCTACTGGTACAAGCAAGCGTGCAGGCCAAGCCAGGCCATGTGTCTCCGCTCCAGCTTACCAACATCCAGGTACCACAGCAGGTAAGGTTCCTGGCCCCAGCCTCCTCTTGCTGTCAGCTTGGCTCTGTTCTTGCCAGGGTCACAGACATGGGCCCCATCCATGGGCTATGGGCAGTGGCCTCTACAGGGCAAGACTAAAATCCCCCAGGTGCTGTTGGCTAAGCAGCCTCTGGAGTCATCTTAGCAGAACTAAGGCCTGAGGAGGGTTGACAGCAGGCAGCCTGTGGGTCTATCCCTAGCATCTCTCAGTGTTTACAAGTCCAGATCTTGCTGCCACCGTGAGGTTCTGTGCTCCAGAAGGCCACAGTCAGGTGTTGAGGCTCACACCCATTTCTAGTTGGTCAGCATAGAGTCGTACTGTGCTGGAGTGCTAGGGTTGGAAGTGAGGGCCTGGGGCATATTAAACATGTGCTCTACTGCTGAGCCACACTCTGGCCTCCTCCTGACAGAGTATAAGGGTAAGAACACATAATGTTTTGGGGGTTTTTTTGGTCTTTTTGAGACAGGGTCTTCCTGTAGCTACAGCTGGACCTGGATTTGCTATGGAGACCAGGCTGGCCTTGAATTCACAGAGATCTGCCTGCCTATGCTTCCCAAGTACTGGTACTAAAGGTGTGTGCCATCACGCCTGACTTGGGGGATGTTTTGAGACAGGGTCTCAATGTAGCTCAGAGTGGCCTAGAACTCCATATCCTGGAAGTGCAGGTGTGCACTCCATACCAGGCCTCTAGACCACATTCCACATAGCCAAGAATCAATCCTGACTCTGCTGTTTCGTGCTTTAGAACCCTAGAACAGCCCTTCACCCCCTGAGCTTGGATGTCACCCACTATGGAGTGGTGCCGTAACAGCTTTGTTGAGGTGGATTGATTCCTGAACTGACAGAGTACCTAAATATCCTGGCCAGAAGGCACTCAGTGAAACTGCTGGAGGCTGGAATGCAGCTTTGTAGTAGCACATGTACATGAGGACTGGGTTCCATCTCTAGCCCCCAAACCACAACCAAAGGCTGAGACTGTAGTTGTGATTGGTGATGGTACTCCCTTCTTTCTCCCCGGCTCCAGGCTCTCCCCACACAGCGTCTGGTGGTACAGAGCACTGCGGCAGGCACTAAGGGTGGCCAGGTCTCCCTGACTGTGCACAGTACCCAGCAGGTGCATGCTGCCCCTGAGGTATGTGGTCTCCTACTCATTTCTCCATCTTCTCTCCCTGATCCAGTCACATGTATCCCTAACAGCATATCACAATATAGTTCAGGCTAGTCCCAAATTCCTATGTAGCCCAGACTCACCTCTAAATCGTGATCCTCCTGAGGACTGTAGGTGTGTATCACCATGCCTGGATTACTCTGGACTCTCTCACCCTGAACTTGCTGCTTTTGAGTCCCGATACTCCATTTTATTGATCCTAGGTGGGGTCACCCAGCTAATCCTTGACCCTAACTGGCCTAGGTGAGAAGCCATGGAGCCCTTCTAGGGAGGAGGAGGGGACTCCTCCCCTGGTTTGAGAGAGCTGTATCCTAGGAGATAAAGTGGCTTCTTCCATCTACAGGGTGGGTAGTGTCCTTTCCTGGGAGCCTTAGACCTCACACATACAACACCAGTGAGGATGTGGGGAGAGGCAGGGTGGAGGTGGTCCTGAGCAGATATTAGCATCGGGAGCCCAAAGTCAGGCTGTCTGTGGGCAGGCTTTCCAGCCTCACAGCCCAGCATTTTCTGTGTGTAACAGAGCTAAGGATGCGAGGTGTGTTGGCACACACCTACACTTGAGGCTGAGGCAAGAGGATTTCAAGTGTGATGTTAACTTGGGCTTGTAGGGACACCCTGTCTCAGAAAAAGCTAGTGAAAACCACCACCCATATTCTTCCATCTTGTGAGAATTTCAGCCCAAGCTAGAGCATCATGGCCCTAGAGCAAACACCAGCAGCCTGCCCACCTTTGTGGTCCTGGGAGCCTCTCCTTTTGCTTTTATTAGGAAGTGGGTATCTGAAGCACTCAGGGCAGGACCCAGTGGAGACAGCACCCAGTTAGGTTAGATGCTGCTGTTGTCATTACTGGAGCCCTGGGAAAGCCTGGCAGGGGGTGGAGGGGTGCTTTCAGGGGCCCTGGGGCAGCCCAGCTGCCAGCCTGTTCTTCCTCCTCTCAGCTGTGGTCCTTCTGACTTTGGAAAGAGCAAGTGGCCTCTGACCATCACGGGAAGATGCCCCCCCCCAAAGAGTCCTCCTGAGTTGAGTATTTGTAAGGGCCCAGGTGCTCCCAACACAATCCCTGCTGGCCCTGACATTGTCTCCATGTTTTTTCTCTTGTAGCAGTCACCAGTACAGGCCAACAGCTCCACCAGCAAGACAACTGGGGCCTCCGCAGGCACTGTGCAGCAACTGCAGGTCCACAGCGTCCAGCAGAGTGTCCCTGTCACCCAAGAGGTGCCTGGCCAAGGCGGGCAGTGGCTAGAGCCAGGGGTCTGGAACAGATGGCCTCTGTAGCCACCCATGGCTGTGTCCCTAGTCTGTCAGAGCTAAGCAGATGGGGGTCGAGTCCCAGCCTACAATGTGGGCATTTTGTAAGGGTCTCTGCCTCTGCCCAGATTTAGTGTCTTCAGCTGTGACACTAGAGGTGCCTAATGTAAAATCTGGGGATAGCTTTGAAACTCACCTTGGATCAGTGAGATGGTTTAGTGTGTAAAGGCACTTGCCCCCAAGCTTGACGACCTGAGTTCTATCCCTGAGACCCACATGGTATTGAAGAAAACTCGCCTCAGGAGGACTGGGGATGTACTTGGGTAGAATACTTTCCCAGTGCACAAGGCCCTGGGTACCATCCCAGCACTGCAAAAACAGAAAGGATCCCCACTGACCTCTTGGGTCTCATTTGCCTAGGGGACTGTCCCAAGGTCAAGCTTTTGGTCATTCCTCGGGGAGAGACCTCATCTTAGTCTGTGACTGACTTTCCAGAAGCCAGGCTCCCCAGTACCAGCCAACAAGGCCTGAGCAGGCCAAGAGGCAAGGGATATCCAGCACCTGCTTGTTCTTGCTTAACTTAGGGGTCTCTTGGCCTCTCCACAAGATGAGATAGGTTTTGGTATGCCCTCATAGTCTCAACTACATGGAAAGGTGAGTCCAGGTAATCTTAAAGGCCAGCCTGGGCAACTTAGTGAGACCCTGTCTCAGAATAAAAAGTGAAAAATAGGACTGCAGATGACTCAGTGATAGAGAACTTGTATGAGGCCCCTGGTTCCCAAGCATGGGGGAGGGGGACCTCAAACAGACCAAAGACATAGATAGACCCTTTCCCAGAGGAAAGACGAAACCACTGGACCCAAAAGACTAACAGATACTTCTCTTCCTGGGCATGAGTTGTTCTAAACCTCCAGACCCAAGTTCAAGTTCCCACCCCACCCTTCCCCTTCCCCCACAGCCACTGTGCCCTGAGCATCCCTGAGTTTGGACCCCTACAGTACTGCAGTATTTGTGCCACCAGTAACCCAGGCCATAACCATGCGTCTTTTGTGCACTCCTAGGGAGCCTGTAGTGGATAGGGTGGAACACAAAGACCCCCTCAATCCCAGGTCTGCCACTTCCCAGCAGTGCCACCTCCCTTGGACTTAGCCTTCACATCTGTAAATGGATGCCCGGAGTGCCTGTAGTGCTGGATCTCACAGCAAAAGTCTGACCTCTGCCTAGGAAATGGTAGTCTTTCCCTAGAGGGCTGCTCTGAGGTTCACAGTCATGTACCAGACTTGGCCATCATTGCCATGATTACCATAGTTGGACTTGCCTCTCCCTTTCCTAGAGGTCCGTGGTCCAGGCCACTCCACAGACACCAAAAGCTGGCCCCGTGCAGCAGCTGACCGTGCAGGGACTGCAGCCAGTTCACGTTGCTCAAGAGGTGTGTGTCTCACCTTTCTATGTCGGGGCAGTTGGGTCGGTCCCGGGCTGTGGCTGGGGAATACAGGCACCTGACCCCAAGGGAGGGATGGAGCCACCTGGGGGGGTCCTGAAGGGCTGAGGCCACCGGAGACTTGGAGGCTAGAAGTCCAGCTCAGGGCAGGCTTCACGTCACTTTCTGGCCCTGGCTGGTCCTGGATCCCTACCCATCGCAACATCTGGCTACTTAGGGCCGGGTCTTGCTAAGAGATCTGGATTCAGATCGCGCTTTCTGGCGTGCCCGGGTTCCCACCCCGTCTGAGACACGGGGCGGGGATCTTCGTCCGGTTGGCCGCGTGCTTGCAGCCTGGTGACCCCCCAGTGTTTCTGTTTGTCCTCCAGAGCTCAGACAGTCAGTTTCCCGATAGGAAGGCAGAACAGCGAGAATCCCCGCCCACGCCACCACCGGAGCCGCCGCCCCGGCCGCCCGGGCCTGGCGTGCAGGCCCGGGAGCCGCCGCACCTGGCAGCGTGCAGCTGCGAGGCCCCGCAGCTAGGCAGTCCCGAGCGGTCACCGCCCAATTACGAGCCGGGCGTGGAGCAGTGGGTGGAGCTGGTGGGCGTGCTGCCCCAACACCTGCTCCTACCTCAGCAGAGGGTGGTCTTCGAGCCACTGCCCGGGCTCTCGGCTCGAGCCAGCCCGGACCTGAGGGTCAGAATCCACAGAACGCCCCAGGTGCTAGTGTTCGGGACGGCCGCCACGGCCCTCAAAGTACGTGGCGGCTGCTCGGTGGGGGGCGAGGGCGGGGCGACCCGCTCGGGATGGATGCCGCCCCCAAGCCCGGTCCAGACCCAGGCTCCGCCCCTGCAATCGGGGTGGACGGGTGGAGGTAGGCTATCCAAGCCTTGCCCCCAAGGTGCTGTCCAAGTCATTCTAGGTTCTGGCCCTTGGACCGAACCCCGGGCTCCTCTCCTAACATCCTGCTTGAGAAACCTTCCAGGTTTCCAGCACTGGTCCCCCAGCCCCTGAGGGCGTGTCTTTAGATGCGACCGGGGACACTTAATCCCTGTTTCCACCTTCCAGGCCCATTGTAGGATCCTGTTTGGGGTCCCCTACTCTACCCAACAGGTGTTCCCTTCCTCGTTGCAGTTCCTCCTGATTCCCAGCCCCAGCTGAGGCCAGCCTCTGAACCTCCCACCTCAGTCTCCAATCTCGGCTCTGAGAGGGCTGCTCTGGGCCCTGTTCAGAGAACTCAGAAGTGCGCCCTCCCAATGGGGATTTCTCTGGATGTCAGGGAGTGTGTATGTGGAGGCCAGCCCTGACCCTTGCCGCCCTTGCTCCTGCTCCAGGTGCAGCAGCTCCAGCAGGTACCTGTCCCACACGTGTACTCCAGTCAGGTGCAGTATGTGGAGGGCGGCGATGCCAGCTACACTGCCAGTGCCATGTAAGTGGGCAGAGGGATAGGGGAAGGGCTCAGATCTGTAGGACATAAGGTCCTAGTTCCAGCCCCCAGCTGACCTTCATGGCTCAGGTGACAGTCAGCCAGATGGGAGCTTCCTAGGAATAGCCAGCTGCCAGAAAGATAGGCTGCTAGTGGCAGGAGCATTGACTGACTGGGAAGGCATTTCCATAGAGCTGGGGGTTGTGGAGTTAGTGGACCTGAAAAAAGAAAAAAATATGAACATATATATGTATACATGTGAGATATACACACACACACACACACACACACACACACACACACACAGAGTTTTCGTTGTTAATGCAGGGTCTCACTACGTAGCCCTGGCTGGCCTCAAGCTCCTTACATAGACCATGTGGGCCTCAAATTCAGAGATTCACCTGCCTCTGCCTCCCTATTAAAGGTGTGTGCCACCATGCCCGGACTATACACACATACTATATATATATAAGATAGCATTAGATCCCCTGGAAGTAGAGTTAAAGACCATTGTGAGCCACCATATGGGTACTGAGAACTAAACCCCAGTCCCCTGCAAAAACAGCAAGTGCTTTTTACCACTGAGGTATTTCTCCAGTCTTACACATACATTATTACAATACAAAATTTTCTACTAATAGGGAATGTTCAGAAAGGAAAAGCAATTCTGTCCCATCTGATCCCCAGCATCACCCAGAGTAGACACTGATCTCTCTTTCTTTGTTCCTATGCAGACATGCTCTAGAATCAAAACTGTCCTATTTCAGCAACACTCAGAAGGCAGAGGCAGGAGGATCTTTATTATTGCATTTATTTATTTATTTATTATTTATTATGTGTAAGGGGGTGGCATGTGTGGGCTATGGTGCATGTATGGAGGTCAAAGGAAAAACCTTCCTGAGTCAGTTTTCTCCCTCTACCATGTGGGTCCCAGGGATGGAACTCATTTCCTCAGGCTTGGTGGCAAGAGATCCTGCCCTTCTGAGCTATCTGGCTGGTCACCAGGAAGATCTTGAGTTGAAGGGCGGCTACATATTGAGGCCATCTCAAACAAAATAAAAGAAAAAAAACTATTCCTTTTCTTTGTTTAGAAATGCAGGCTGAAGCTAGATGTGGTGGCAAGGACTAAGGAGGCAGATCTCTGTGAAATTAAGACCAGCCTGGCCTGCATAGTGAGTTCCAGGCCAGCTGGGGATACAGAGAGACCCTATTTCAAAAGAAAAACTACCAA